AGGAAAGTGGTGACAGAGCTATCAAGAATGCTTATCAAGGGGGAGATAGACGAGAACTCAACCGTCTACATTGATGCATCGACTAACGGAGGAGATGATTTGGTGTATGGGGTTGAAAAGAATGGAGGTTACGTGAACGCAGTAACTGGGCAAAAGTCTGATGTGTTGATTCAGATTCCGAATGGAATGAGAAGTGATGCTGCTCAAGCAGTGAAGAAGATGAGGATAGAAGAGATAGATGATGATGGTGATGAGATGAATGAGTAAATGTTGGGAATCTCTGATGGTTACACACTAATTATTTTAATATTTCTTCTTAAGTTGGTGACTGGACTGTGGGGGGAGGCAGAGTAAGTGAAGTTGCTTTCCCCTTATGTTGTTATATCCAAGTTATCTGGTGGTATTTGTTGTAAATTTTGGAAGAGCATATCTGGTTTTGTGCAAGAGCATGTTTTGAAAGAACATAAGGCTTGTTTTTTCTTTTCTTTTATTTAATATCCACCAACGTGTATATATATATATATATATATATATATATGTCAAATAGGTAGATATTTTTATTTATTGATTTTAAATAATGTGTACTTCAAATTTATTTGAAGATAAAAACATAAATTTATTTTAAAACGATTAAAATTTAAATAAAATCTTATACGAAATATGGAACATTATATTTTAAGTTTGATCAAATTTGATTAAAGTTACAATTTTCGGACATATATTTTTATTTTTTATTTTTCAGAGTTACATATATATATATATATAATGTCCATTTAATTTTTTTGTTAAAAAAAAAAAAGTCATAATCTTTTTAAATCAGGACATTTTATTCAAACAAAGGAAAAGAAAATTTGTGACTTCAGCTGTTCAACTAAGAGATACATATATATATTATAATTTTCTGACTTAATCTTGACAAAGCTCTTGCTATATATATTTTAAACTTTGTTTTGAATAAGATAATTAAAAGAGTTAAATATGTAGAATTATTTAAACTACATATGATTTTAATAATATTGGTTAGTCCATTCAAAATCCTCCCCAAGCACTAATTAATTCATTACAAATTAAATTATGCTACTTAAACAGTTTTTTAATTAATAAAAAAAATATCATTTATAAATTAATTCGTACAAATCATATTTGAACACCCGGTACTTAAATTAACAGTTAATTTTCTAATATAAAAGAAAATAGTGACATCTATTTATATTATAGTAGGTACATATTATTTAATTAGTAAAATGTGTATATATATATATATATTTTTATAAAAAATATTATGAAATTTTACAAAAAAATAAAATAAAAATAAAAATTACTTTTATTAAAAAGCAAAAAGGTTCCTCTTAACGCGCGCGTGTATCTACCTTTTGAATGATTGTGCCGGTATCCACGTCCCCTACCGACCCTTCAACTTATCTCCCGGTCATCTCTTCGCCTGGTTTTTTTTTTTTTTTTATAAAATAATTTTAAAATTTCTTATTTTTCCTTTTATATATATATATATATGTATATGTATATCCCTCATTTTCATCATATCAATTTCAATTTATAAAAAAATCAAGACACGAGCTATGTCTCTGGAAACTCTCTTCTACTTTCTACTATTATCCATTTCCATCTACACTCTTCTCAACCTGCTTTCCCGTGATCGTCGCTGCTTGCCGCCGGGTCCCAGACCATGGCCGATTATCGGCAACCTTCCGCACATTGGCACCATGCCTCACCACACTATGGCGGCCATGGCTCGCACCTATGGCCCGCTGCTGTATCTTCGTATGGGCCTGGTGGATGTCGTGGTGGCGGCGTCGGCATCCGTGGCGGAGCAGTTTTTGAAAGTTCACGACGCAAATTTCTCGAGCCGGCCGCCGAACTCCGGCGCTAAACACATCGCTTACAACTATCAGGACCTGGTTTTCGCACCGTACGGTCCAAGGTGGAGAATGCTCCGCAAGATCTGCTCCGTCCATGTCTTCTCCGCCAAGGCTCTCGATGATTTCAGACACGTCCGCCAGGTAATTGGTTTGATACACACACACACACACACACATGTGTAGTTGCCTTCTTTTTCATGCTAACTATTAATGACTTCCTTTTTTTTTTTATGAACACGTGTACGTGTGTATATATATATATGCATTTATGAACACATGTTAGAAGTTGATAGATCATTATTTGTGACAATATATATATATATATATAAATGTAGAAAAAGTAGAGCGAAATTTCAAAAGTTGGTTTAAATGATATTTCACCATATCTTTTTACTAATTAAAAATATCAAATAATTTTTAATTAAAAAATGATTAATTATCATAAAAGTGACCAAACATTTAACAAATTTTTAAATAAATGAAATAAAAAAATAAATCAGGAAATATAAATACTTTTCAAACTTAAAAAACATTATAAACTCAAATTATACGACTTAAAAAAAACTGGTTTGGTGAAGGTGTACAGTTGACACCCAACGCCCATTAATTTATTTGTCGCAGTGCACACGGCATAAACACGCACATAAATTTCTTTTACATATTATTTTATACTAAAAGTACACCATTATATATATATATATATATATTCAAGCATGCGGTTTGTCTTATCCCCATCATTTGCTAATCTACACCACAAAATAAGTTACTTCCTGTCCTTTTCATCATAGTATTAAATTAATTAATCAGTTTATATTTTGACATTAAAATTTTGAATTGAAAATTAAAATTCTTAATATGTACCAAAACTACAAGTTTTATTGACATTTATTTTGCAATTAATTAAATTTTTTTCATATGATTAATGTCGACAAAGACAATGAGTGTATGCGTTCATAAATGATTAATTCAATTATTGCATAATTTACACCAATTTTAAAACAATTTTTTATTTGAGTAATTTCTAAACGGTACCGTTTGATCTCGACCGAATACGCAGGAGGAGGTGGCGGTGCTGACGCGCACACTGGCGAGTGCCGTCACCAAGGAAGTGAATTTGGGCCAGTTGCTGACGGTGTGTACCGTCAACGCCCTAGGGCAGGTGATGCTTGGGAGACGGGTGTTCGGTGACGGAACCGGCGGGGATGACCCGAAAGCTGGCGAGTTCAAGTCAATGGTCGTGGAGGCAATGTTGCTGGCTGGTGTTTTCAACATCGGAGACTTCATACCGGCGCTGGACTGGTTAGACTTACAGGGCGTAGCAGCTAAGATGAAGAAGGTCCATAAGAGATTCGACGCTTTCTTGACCTCCATTCTCGAGGAGTACAAGATGTACGGTGTTGATGGCAGCAGTAACAGACACAAACACATGCTCGGCACGTTGATTTCGTTGCAGGATGATGACAGTGAGGGAGGAAAGCTCACAGACACTGAGATCAAAGCTTTGCTCTTGGTACTTCTCTCCCCCTGCCATTATAATTAATATACAAATAATTGTTAACGATTATTATTTATTAATATTTCAATTATCATTTGTTATATTACTAATAGATACACTTTTACAAATTTATAATAATAATAAACCAAAAAATTAGAGTAATAATCAAAGTATTTTTGTTTATTTACAAAATAGTACATTCCTCAATTTATTTATTTATTTATTTTTAAATTAAAATATTAAATTAATTTTTAAAATTTAATAATTAATTTTTATAAGAATTTTAAACGATAAAAAATTCATCAAAATTTACAATAATTATTATTTTCACAATCATTTTTTATTAGCTTAGTTTGTGAATAAAATAGTTTAATTTTTTTTTAAAATTGAAAAAAGAATTTTAATACCTTACAACAAATGGTTACAGAACATGTTCATAGCAGGAACCGACACGTCATCAAGCACTATAGAATGGGCCATGGCTGAACTCATCCGGCATCCAAAAATCCTAGCCCAAGTCCGGCGAGAGCTGGACTCCGTCATCGGCCCGAACCGCCTCGTCACCGAATCGGATCTTCCTCACCTGACCTATTTCCAAGCCGTCATCAAGGAAACCTTCCGTCTCCATCCATCCACGCCGCTCTCCCTCCCGCGGATCGCCGCCGAGAGCTGCGAGATCAACGGCTACCACATCCCCAAAGGCGCAACTCTACTAGTCAACGTCTGGGCCATAGCGCGCGACCCGAATGTATGGTCCGACCCGCTAGAGTTCAGACCCGAAAGATTTTTATCAGGCGGCGAAAAGCCCGATGTCGATGTTAGAGGGAACGATTTTGAAGTGATCCCGTTCGGGGCTGGGCGTAGAATCTGTGCCGGATTGAATTTGGGCATACGAATGGTTCAGCTGTTAACGGCGACCCTGGTCCATGCTTTTGACTGGAAGGTGGCTGGAGACGTGATGCCTGAGAAGCTGAACATGGACGAAGCCTATGGGCTAACTCTGCAACGGGCCGTGCCTTTGATGGTGCACCCTAGCCCTAGATTGGCTCACCATGTGTATCAGCCAGCCTCTTAATTATGACTTGTTTGGTTATCGAATGTGCTTTCCACTGTGTTTGTAATCCAGGTTTTACTTTTACCTTCGGTAATTACGTGGTGATTATTGATAATAAAAAAGTACTTAATATTTAATAATAAAAATTATTATATAAATTAAAATAAAAGCAAATAAAATAAAAAATTAAATATTTTTCTGGAATTTTCTACGTGGCGTTGTAATCCGGTTTGTGAAGCAAAAGCGAGACAATAATAATTACCGCTTCCTTAAAGAAAAAGAACAAAGAACTACCCAAACGGGAAGTCGTAGAAACGTCGTCGTTTTAGGAATTCAGTCACTCCAGTCCATTTCTTCTTTTCTTGTGATCTTGTTTAGAGAATAATTACATTTACTATTTCTTTTATGTTTTTCACTTAAATCTGCAAATATTGTTGTTCGTCATCATCATCATCATCATCATCACGTCTAGACTGGATTTTAAATTAATTATGATTGTTAATTTGTTAAAAATATTATGCTCATAGTTTTGTCGGATTTATAAATCTCCCAAGCGATCTCGCCGAAAATGTCGACAGTAATTAAAGCAACAAGAGTTTCTCTCTCATTCCCGCCAATCGCGAGCCTTCAAGCCAAAGCCGATGGTCATGATCAAACGATCTGGGCCTTCTCCGCGAGTCAGTGCCACGGGGTTTGGCACGACGCCGTGTTGGTGGTAGCGGCGGTGCTGTTTGTGGTATACTTGGGGTTGAACGCGAAGAAGGACTCGAAGAAGCTGTGGAATGGAGGATCATACGTAATGATCTCGTACTATGCCCTTCTCTGTCTCGCGAGCAGCCTCAATCTCGCTTGGTGCTGCCTTCAGGTACTTTGCTCTTTGTTCTAATATTTTTAATTAAGGTTTGTTTTTCTTTGACAAACGTGTTTGGTTGATAAAAAATGTAAGGAAAATGGAATCTTGTAGGTCTTTTTCCCCTCATTTTCGAAAAAGAATAGTAAGTTTCCTTTTCTGGAACTGACAGAACGGATCATTTGGATTAAAAATTGAGTTTACTGAAGTTGAGTTGTTGGCCTGAAGAGGTGAGTGTGTTG